TTGTTGTAGTGAATTAATGAATAATTTGACGATTTTATCATTTTAATGGTTTTATACTTTTACTGTTCTTTCTTAATTACTTTTATGCCTTAATTTCCTTAGAGTCTACATATAAATGAACCCAAGCTCATGGGTACCCAACCTAATATGACGGGGTCAAAGTAAGTTGAACATGGTGTTGACAAGTTTTGGGTCAGGAGTAAGTTGTACCCACTTTTGTGATTGGCATGTTGGATCGGTTGTGAATTTTGTTAAAAACTCGCTACGCTTTCCATCCGAATCACATAAAAAATAATTCACTCAATCAATCCAGTTGAACATGGTATTGACGTGTTTTTGGGTTGGAAGTATGTTTTACTTGCTTTTGTAATTCGTTTGGTTGGGTCGGTGTGGATTTTAGTTAAAACTCGGCCCGCTTTCCATCTTTTGTAATTCATAAAAACTTTGAAAGCTTTATAATTTTTATGATTTTACCTATATTTCTTAATTACTTTTATGTCTCAATTCTTTCTACTTTTCCTCCATCCTACAGCGAGAGGGGGACTCTTGTATTTTTTTTTTACTTAACTCAACTCTATCAAAGCGAGTTGAACCCAATGATGAAATTTTTTTGGTAGGGAGCAAGTTGAATTTGAAGTTGACGAGTTCTGGGTTGGCCTAATTTGGTTCAAATTAAAATCTAAACCCTAAACCCTAAAAGTTTTTCGACCTAATTTTTTTTTCTTTTGGACCGTGATTCTTATGGTTTGGTCCAGTTTGGTTCAAACTAAACCACTTCACACCCCTGCAATATTATCCTAATACCTGGATATAAAAACCCTAAAAAGGTGATTTAAAAACTAGTTTTTAGGCTTTTGCTTGGCATGAAGGCTTTTATTTGGGCTTTTGGTGAAAAAATATTTTTGAACTAAAGCTACAATATTTGGAGGGTCTAAAGCGTAAAAGCGTAGCATTTTAGACTTTAAAGCTATATTTTGACTACATTGATCAGGTAGCAAACCATATTCATTAGCTCGTAACTTGTTTGGTCAAGTAGATTGTTCGAGGAGATTGGTTTCCCGGTTACTCCTTTGATGGGTATATGTGGTTGATCTTGATTCAACCATTCAACTCGTGATCTAGTTGTTTGACCAGGTTGGTCCGGGTTAAAAATCTTGGGTGTGAGTCGTGGTGAGAGTGTCAAACAATTATGTGTCAGGGCAATAATAGTTTAGTGATTAAAATGGAGGCAAGTGATTTTGCAGGTAAATGTTCACTACAACAAATTTGGCCTATTAGGACAAAAAATTTTATTTTGTCATTTTTTGTTTGTCACAATAGGTAAGGTGATATGACAAAAATAATATATTGGTTTTTCCATTTTTGCTTCCCTTCAGGACACTAACATCGCGCTTACTGCTCTCGTTGACACAACCAACTACAAGAACAACTTTTCATTAAGCTTGAGCGCAGTTAATACAAGAGGGGATACATGGTACAATGTTAGCGCATTGAATGCAGCTTCACACTCTAGCGTACATGCGAATCGAGTTCCGCTTTTCAAGGTTTGGAAGAAGGGAGCACACTTGTCAACTGACCTTAGTATGAATCTTCCTAATGCGGCGAGCTTTCCATTAAGAGATTGTATCTCAGTTGCATTTCTGGGCTTGCATAGCTGTTGAACCACACTAATTTGCTTCGGGTCCACTTCGATTCCGCATTTGGTTATCATGAATCCTAGGAATTTTTTTGCCTCGGCGCCGAACACACACTTGAGAGGGTTGAGGCAAAGGTTGTGCTCGCTGAGTGCATTCGAACGTTTCGCGGAGATTATCTAGGTGGGAGCGTCCTTCCTTGGTTTTGACAATGAGGTCGTCAATGTATGCTTCGATGTTGCACCCAATTTGGCGCGCAAACACTAAGTCAATCATTCGTTTATATGTGATGCGTGCGTTTTCCCAAACGAAAGGCATTCCTACGAAGTAGAAGTTTCCGAATGGCGTCATAAAGGTTGTATTCTCTTCGTCTTCTTCAATCATTGAATTTGATGTTATCCCAAGAACATATCCAGGAAGGATAATGTTTTGTGATCAGATGTGGCGTCAAACAGTTGATCTATTCATGGTAAGGGATAAGTATCCCCGGGCAAACCTTGTTGATTGTGGTGTAGTCGACGCACATCCTCCACGCGCCAGAGAATTTTTTTCACCAAAATGACGTTGGCTAGCCATTTCGAGTATTTGACTTTGCGAATCAGTCTCGCAGCCAAGAGGCGCGAGACTTCTTCTTCGATGGCCTTGAGCTTCTCATTAGTGAAACTTTGGCAGGCTTGTTACCGCGGTTCTGCGTTCATGGGAACCGCGAGACAGTGTTGCGCCACCTACCTTGGTACCCATGGCATGTCTTCAGCACACCAGGCGAGCATTTTCTTATACTCTTACAGTAGTATCACCAACGGATCAATCATGTCATTGTGAACATGAGTCGATATGTGCACTTTCTTGGTTGGTTCTTCTGGGTCTAATGGAACTTCAAAATCAGAGTCCATGGAATCTGGGCATGGCTCTTACGATCTTGTGTCGATTATGTTCGTCTGGCGGGTAGGTTATACCTCGTTTGCTGTGTTCCAAGGTAGTCCGCACGACTCCCAAGTGCCTATTGTGGTGGGAAACTAAAGTTTCTAATGGCATGTGGACGGTAATGCCATTTATTTGGCTAGGAATGGGCGACCTGGAATGCCGTTGTGGGGCGAGTCACAATCAACGATGGTGAAATCAACTTGCTTTGAAATATGTTGTTCCTGGTTGCCGACCAAAACCGGGAGAGTTATCGCCCCTATTACCCCCACCCGTACCCCGGAGAACCCTACCAAGTTTCCTTGTGCATGTCTGATCATGCGCGGGTCAATATCCATTTGATCCAAGGTGAGCTTGAATAAGATGTCTGTGGCGCTTCCTCCATCTATTTGTAGGTGATGCACTTTCCACGCAACTATCAATGCGGTGATGGTGAGCGGATCTTCAGATGGAACTCCTTGAGGAAATTTTGAATCGGCAAAACTCATATCGCACTTCGCTTGGGTATTTGTTGCCGCACACTCCATCGCACGTTCACGCTTTGTCTTCTTCTTGGGTCTGTCTCCTTCTATGGTCACGACCCCTATTTCTTTACGCACAATGTATGGTGGTGGTATTGTTCCATTATCCTTTCGCTCCTCGGTCTTGTGGACACATTCCGCCAAGTATCCCCTTCAAACGAGTGCTTCGATTTCCACTTTGAGGTTGTAGCATTCTTTTGTCATATGGCCCAACTCTCTGTGGAAATCGCAGTGTTTCTAGTGGTCGCACATGTGAGGTGCGGCCTTTACTGATGCTCGCTCATTGAGGCAATATTCCTTCTCGCGTGTGAGGTGGAATACGTTCTTCACTGTGTCCTTAAGAAGAGTGAAGGTGGTGGGCGAATATCTTTCTGGGGAACGCCTACGTTGTACCGTCTTGGAGGGGCAAGCGGCCTACTTGATCCGCTATGATACTATATGAGGGGGCAATGGGGGCTGCCTTCGCGTCTGCTCTTCTCTGACGTGTCTTGTTGGTTTGAAACGTCATACTGAACCTGCGCCCAAGGTCACCTCTAAGTGATAACCTTCTCTATCTAAGGGTCTGTTGTTCCATTGTATGTGGGTAGGGTGGGTGGGATTCCACTAAGGTGTTCTACCAAGATTTCCGCGCACAACAGTTGATGGAAAATCTCTTTAGGTTGAGCACGGTAATGCGGGGAAAGATGTTGCTCCAGGAAATTTAGATCCGCTCTTGATGGTGGCGCTGTTCGTTGCTCATGAGGTTCAGGGGCGACTTGCCTCTAGACATAGGTCTGTTGTGTTGCCACGGTGGCTTCTTTGTTCATCATAAGTGCGATGACTTGGTTCATCTTGTTTTACCTGTCCGCGATTACTTCATTTTGCTTGGCCATTTGCTGGCGTACTTCCTTGGCGGTTAGTTGCGACTCCTCTTCCTCTATTCATACCGCGTTCAGATTGCTGGTTTTCGCGAATAGTCTCGGATTTATCATCTCTTTGAGTGGTGTTGCCTCATCCGGTTTGATTGAAGCTTGTCCTGACATTGTAGTTTGGTTATTCTTACTTTTCACTCGCGATCCCACGGTTGGCGCCAATTGTTTATGTCTAACTGTGTGTAGGAGCTAGTGAGACACGGGGTTTGTATGGATGCGAAAGGAAAGAGAGAATGAGCCGTCTTTATACTTTGTTGATTCAAAGGATTTAAAGGAGCCGAGAGGGAGAGAAAGAGATTCTAGAGATGTTTTCAAGTTTTTAGAGAGAGAGACTAGAAATCGATCCCCTTACCCACGGGAGTAAATAGTCTATTTATAGGCAACATTTCGGTGGGTGGGTTTTAAATGTGACTCGACGCTTGGAAAAGACAGAAAACTAGGATATGACGAGGTCTATGAATGAGACGTGACTGCTTGTCACTAAAACGACGTCTTCTTGAGCTTCTTATTCCGTGAGTACCCGTTTTTGCGCGGTTCTCACCTTGCCTTAGGTGTGACGTGGCTGCTCGCGAGACTCTACTTGCGTGTGGTGTTCCGCAATTACCCGTTTTTGGGCACGCTTTGCTTTATCATGAGGTATATATTCAACGAAAAAAGAATTATCCTGTGGTTCCTAAAAATACAAGTAGACAAGTGTTTTGATAATTCGCTGGAGAGCGCAGGCTAATGATGAAATAAATTATTATAAGTCGGACCGTTATGAGTGAAGTATAATGATAAGTACTCATTTTATATATTTTGATCGTTTAGGTTGAGGTCATGTGTTACACCTATAAGTTTCAACGCTTTAAGTGAGTTGCAACTCGATCTTGTCGCTTTAATTACCAAAAAAAAAAATGATTAGAAATCCAATAGAATCATATGCGCGCGGTTAACTCAAAAGCAACTGAGAATCGGACAAATGAAAAGAGTGATGCATACAATAGTAGAAACAAACCCACAACCCAAGAAATTCAAATAACAATCAGAGTAGAAACAAACAAGCAATGAGCCCCTCTAGACAAGCAATCCCAAGACATTACAACATATCGTCAAACTGATCAGTTTCCAGGGCCCGACGGGGTAAGGCCAGGGATGGAAGGAATGGTTGGAAACCCGCTTGGCAGTGGCGGCAGAGAAACCTTTGGCATGGAAGGAATAGTGGGCATGGTCGGAATGGCGCCGGCGCTGGGGAGTGGCGGCAATCCTCCTCCGGACGGCAGAGTTGGTACCGGCAGGGTGGGCATGGCTCCGGCGCCGGGGAGCGGGGGCAATCCTCCTCCGGACGGCAGAGTTGGTAGCGGCAGAGATGGGATGGTGGGCATAGGAGGCAGTGCTGTGGGTTTCGGCAGTTGGAGGAGCTGTCGAGCCGCCATTCCATTTTCCATGTTACTGCACAATGTGACGGCAAGGAGGAGAGCAAAGAGGAACAACGTCGACGAAGAAGCCATGTCTGATTTAACTAACTTGTCGGAAGAAATTTGGGAGGGTTCTTTTGTTTGGGATCAGTTGGTTCAAGTGATGGATGAAAAGGGTACCAGAGGCGGAGGGTTAATATATAGGCAGTGAAACTATTAGTATGGTCCAGAAAAGTTGGGTCATGTTCGATTAGTAGTTCACCTCCTTACCCATATAACGGGCGCTGCAGGTAGGGTTGGTTATGAAAATGTCCAGTACATGTCCAAGTTTCGGTAATCTAATATGCGACTAGTTTTGGTGGGAATTCCATTAATTTATACTAAGGTTGCCGTCTTATACCCTTGACAAGTCTTTACTTTAGAAAGATAAATGCAATGAAATGTCCAAGTTTGGGCTATCTAAGGTTACCTAATCTTTGTCTCTAGGTCTGCCGCTAAACGCAAACTTTCCAACTCTAGGTTGAGATAAGAGCTCCAGTGCTTCGATCACCGTTAATAAAGGTTACTTTCTTATACGTCAAATTAACACCAAACTGGAATATCAATCATTGTCTGTTTTGTCTTCGTTCATTCATTTAATTAGTAAATGTCATCAGCATCAACAAAACTCGTAATAAACGTCACCAAGACATCATCAATTCATCAAATCATCACCTTGTCAGTTGTCACCAAATCATTTTGTCACGCGAGACCAATGTAGTCAAAAGCGTGTTTTTACGTGAAAACGTTTTGGTGATCTAGAAGTAATAAAAATTGAGATTTTGCGTAGAAGTGTTTTAGTGACGTAGAAGCGTAAAATCATAAGTATTTAAGTTTTAAATCCCGATTTTGACTACATAAGAGTGGACATCACCACTGGAAATGAAGTGTTATCATGAAACTCTTTTAACCGAATTAAAGCCAACTAGAACAACCCAAACCCACATTATCATGGGGTAGACATAAGCCCTTTCTATATCTACGTGATTTAACATGATCATGTACAATGCAGTTAAAGTCTAACTTCTACATAAAAGTGAAATGATGGATAAAAGCGAGAGCAAAAGTGTAAGCTTAACATTTTATAAATTTTTTAACCATAACTTTTATTTTTTTTAAATATAAACAAATAAGTGAACTAGCTCATATATATATTAAAGATCACTATCACACGCACACACATAAACTAAATAAATAGACTTTAAATTAAATTAATAGACGTTTAAATTAAACAAGCATTCAATGCCTTCCTCCTGCTTCTGGAAAAAAAATATAAGAATGGAGAAGAAGTGGAAATGACTTATTGATGGAGAATTCCTACAACAAAAGACTAAAAGGATAACCTGAAAAATAACTATGTCATTTTTTCTCTATTGGGTGAAAAGCTGAACCAAGCCCAACCCAATTTGGTAGGGCGTGCAATGATTTGTTCCGAAGCAGACCGCACCCGACCAAACCGACATCAAAATCAGACCAAGCTGACAATACAATGCATTTTGGTCCATGGTGCTATGAATTTTATAAATACCAAAGGAAAATGAGCATGGTTGATATTTGGACTAGACCACATTGGACCGAATAAAATGTCAGTCTGGTCCATGATCATAATTTATTTTTTCTTTTGGACCGCGATTCTTAAGGTTTGGTACGTTTGGGTTTGAAAAAAATACCCAGGTATCAAAGCCTAAGAAAGCAATTTGAAAGCTAGCTTCTAGACTTTTGATTGGCTTGAGGGCTTTTACTTAGACTTTTAGTAAAAAATCTTTTTGAACAAAAGCTACAATATTTGAAGGGTCTAAAATTTTTAATTAAAGCTAGTTTTAACTAATTGATCATGAAGCAAACAATATTCATTAGCTCGTAACTTGTTGGTTATGTTGGTTGTTCAAGGAGATTGATTTCCATGTTACTCTTTTGATGGTAACTGGGTTGATCTTGATTCAACCCGTCAACTCATAACCTTATTTCTTGACCAGGTTGATCCGGGCAAAAAATCTTGGGTTTAGGTCACGACGAGTGTCAAACAATTGTGTGTAAGTGCCGTAATAGTTTAGTGATTAAAATGTAGGAAAGTGATGTTGGAGGTTAAAAAAAGAACATAAATTATCATTAAGTCAGACCGTTATGAGTGAAAGATCAAAATAAGTCATTGAATATATATGTCGTTTTTTTATTGAGGTCATGTTGCGCTACCTATCAGTTTCAACGTTGTAAGTGTGAGTTGAATCGACATCTATCAACTCGATCTTGTCGCTTCATCAAAAAATTATATAAGTCCAATAGAATCATATGTAAAAGTACCATGCAGTTAACTCATAAGTAACTGCGAAGCAGACACATGATAAGAGTGATGCGTACAATAGTACACACCAATATGCAATTCAAAGAAACTCAAATAACAATCAGAACATAGAAACAAACAATGAGCCGGCCTCTAGACAAGCAATCCCAAGACACAGCAACATATCGTCGAACTCCGAAACACAATGATATCCACCAACTTCACTCAGTTGCCGGGGCCCGCCGGGGTAAGGCCAGGGATGGAAGGCATGGTTGGCAAACCACTAGGCATCGGCGGCAGAGAAACCTTTGGGATGGAAGGAATAGTGGGCAGGGTAGGAATCGCACCGGCGCTGGGGAGCGGCGGCAGTCCTCCTCCGGACGGCAGGGTGGGCAAGGCGCCGGCGCTGGGAAGTGGCGGCAATCCTCCGGTTGGGAGAGTTGGTAGCGGCAGAGATGGGATGGTGGGCATCGGAGGCAGTGCTGTGGGTTTCGGCAGTTGGAGGAGCTGTCGAGCCGCCATTCCGTTTTTCATGCTGGAGAATGTGACGGCCGCCAGAACGATAGCAACGAGGAAGAACTTCGAGTTAGAAGCCATGTTTATGGAGGAGGTTAATTTGGAATTAAGGGTTGTTTTGTCGGTGTAACTAGTGATGGAGGGAAAGGTTTAAGAGGTGCGAGGGTTTATATATACGGGCAGTAGAATTTGTATTGTCGAGAAGAGATGTTGTGAGATTATGTGTGATGATTAGTTTACCTGCTCTACCCATAAAAGACGTTGGTGATGTTGGTTAGGGGGAAAAAACAAAAAAGGCTACATGTCCAAGTTTCCTGGAATGCTGGAGGGGCACACACATGTAATTATGTAGTTGGCTGGTTACATACCAGTAAGCTAACAACAACATGGGTCGCGGCTAGTTCAACCAAAAAGGTATCTCACGTTACATACGTCTGCTGCAAAAATATTTGATAATAAGCTGTGTTGACTATTGAGCTCAAGCTCAGCAGGGTGTATTTTTGTCTTTTGCTTTGTTCTTTTTTTATTTAGGGCTTTTTTTATTATGAGTGTATACCTTGGGTGTCGCTTAAGTTTGAAAATTGAGGTAGGCATACCACATAAGTTTGAATAGGGCGTCGGATATACCACTGAACTCTGTTATATGTGCACACGGTATCACTTAAGTTTACTGTTAAGTGCATTTCGTTAAAATTGATTGAATATTCTTGGAATATTCCGTTTTTTAAATTTCATAATTGGTCCTTCTACTTTTTTTATTGTAAAAAAATTATTTGGGCTTATTACATTTTTATTTTATAGTGAGAATCCTATTTTCAATACTTAATACCAAACTAATTTTTGAATAAAAAATTTTAGAATCAATTATCATTATAATTATTTTCAATTATCGTTATGTGTTCTAATAATTGAATTATTCCATAAATGTTATAACTAAACAATGTTGTAGCTTTTATAGTCATATTTTCTTTTCTATATTTTTTACCAAATGTTGTAGCTTTTATATTTTGTTTATTACTTGGTTACTTTTCATATACTTTCGTTCTAAATTTTTTCAATTAGTGAAATATGTTTAATTCTTTCTGATTGTGTTACAACTTCCATTTATCCTTTTTTTATTTAGATGTATTGATGATCGATTATGTCTATTTTAACAATTTTTTTGTGAAACTATTTTAACTATTTCTAATGGTGTTTCTAATTGAAATAGTGGGTTTAAATAGATATTCTAATATTTATTTTAAATATTTATTATTATATTCTAGCATATTTATTATTCTACTTGATATTTGTTTACTAATTTTACTATATTTTATTGAAAAATATTTGATTAGTCATTCTAGTAATAATACGTTTAAAAGGTCTTCTGATTATTATATTAGATAAAAACTTGTTGAAATATAGTTTGGATGTTTTTTAAATTTTTGGGTATCAAAAAGTAATTAAAAGTTTGGGTTGGACTTTCTCTTTCTTCTCTCGTTTTGTTGACGATTCCCTTCGATGGCGGCTTCGCCGTCGGCTGCGGCCTCATCAGAGGGAGCTCCTTCGGTGGGCAACACTTGGGCTTCGCTGTTCTCAGTGGACCCTGCGAACAGAATGAAGTTTCGCTCCCCTGAGCGGAAGAATGATGGATTTCGCCTTCCCTGTGAAGTGAAGAAAAGGGGGGAGGAGCGGTGGAAGGACAGTCTCATCGCGCAATTCATGGGCGATCCGCCGAAGCTGGTGGCTCTTCAACAGTGGGCAACTAGTCTCTGGGGAAGGGATGGGCCTGTTAGGGTTTCCAAATTCGGCCCTCAATTGATGGTTTTCCAGTTTCCCTCGGCTTCCACAAGTCGATGGGTCCTCGATCAGGCCCTTGGCACTTCCAGGGCAATCCTGTGTTTTTTAGGAAGTGGTCACCGGGCATCCAGCCTGTGCACCCGGAGTCAGAGACACTTCCGATTTGGGTGAAGATTTGGGGGATTCCACTTGAGTACCACTCAATGGAAGGGCACGAGTGGATAGCAAGTACAATGGGTAAACCGTTGTGGATGGATTAGTCGACTCGGACTGGTGGGCAATTAGGGTACGCGAAGGTGTGTCTGGACCTTGCTGCAGATTGTGGATTCCCAGCTAAGGTGAAACTCTATCCAGATGAGGACCCTTCGTTTGAGGTAGAGGTGGAATACCTAAACAAACCTATCATTTGTGAACGTTGTTTGATCTATGGTCATGATTGTGATTGGCTTAGTAAGCAGGGGAAGAAATGAGTGCCTAAGATGAAGGCTGTGGAGGTAGAAGTACTTGATGGGGGTGTTGGTTCAGTGGAAACTGTGTTAGGGGTGCAGGTTGGTAAGTCTCATGAAGGTTCAGCTGTTACATCTGAGAACAACTTGGATAAGGGTACTTCTCTCTCCCCGTCAATTGGGAGCCCATCAGTGAGTTTTTTGGCTACATTGAAAGGGCCATCAGGGAATCCTGTGAGCTCTTCCAAGCTTCTGCAGGTGGCTGCTCTAGTTAACTCACTAGAGTCCTCTGGGAGGTTAACTCAGCAGTCAACTCCTGTTGAGAAGGAGAAAAATCCCTAGATTACAGTTGAGAGTCAGAAGTCGAAAAAGAAGCCTGATCCACCATATGTTCCCCCAGGAAAGAGAGGTGGGAAAGGAGGAAAGAAGAGATGAAAATTTTAGTTTGGAACACAAGGGGGTTTAAGGATAGTAGTAAGAATAAAGCTGTACAGCTTATAGTAAATAATAAACAAATAGATATAGTAGCTATTCTAGAGCCAAGAACAAGGAAGCAAGAGTCTGAGGATTTGATAGACAAGAGATTCCCAGGATGGGAAAGAAAGGTGGCGAATAACTCATCTGGGTTGGGGAAGATTTGGCTTCTGTGGAGGCAGGATGTGCAGCTCACAATTCTGGATCAGTCAAATCAGTTTATACATGTGTTGGTAAGTTCAGGTACTCTCTTCTTTGCTACTTTTGTCTATGCTTCTAATGAGGAGGTAGATAGAAGGAGTCTGTATAGGGACTTGGTAAAGTTACGAATTTCTCAGTTGCCATGGGCCATTTTGGGTGATTTCAATGCTATTAATGACCCCAGCGAGGCTTCTAATAACCCTGCTTTTAATAGTAGTATGGAGGAGTTTAAAAACTGGTAGGACCAATATGAGATTATTGAGCATAAATCAGTAGGTCCTTGGTTTACTTGGATAAACAAGCAATCACAAAACCCTATAGCTAGAAGGCTTGATAGGGTGTTTGTCAATATTGAATGGTTAAGTAGGCTCTCTAATAGTGCAGTTGATCTGCTCGATCCCTCGGTATCAGATCACTGTCCAATCTATTTGGATACTGATAGCTCCCTCAAATCTTTGCCAAAACCTTTTTGATTTTTCAAGTTTTGGGTAGCTCATCCGTCTTTTTTTGATATTGTGAACGAGGCATGGCATTCTGATGTCTCGGGGTCTCCCTTGTATAGAGTTTGGAAAAAGTTGAGGATTCTGAAGAAACTTCTTAAAACTCTGAATAAGGAAGTCTACTCAGATTTAGGAGAGGGTGAAAATGAAGGAATCTGAGTTGAAGTCTGCTCAGATAGAGGCTCTTTCTAACCCTTCCAGTGAGACTCTTGAGGCAGAATTGGTCAGGGGAAAAGAGCTCAGGCAGTTACAGTTAAATGAAGAGTCCTTTTTGAGACAGAAGTCAACAGAGATCTGGGTTAAAGAGGGGGATTCTAATTCTCATTTCTTTCATCGATCAGTCAAAGTAAGGCAGCAAAGGAACACTATCAGATCATTGTTGACTGAGGAGGGTGCGAGGGTTAATGACACTGACTCAATGTGTAAGGTAGTAGTGGAATTTTATGAAAAACTCTTAGGGACTAAAGACGAGTTAGTTCAGCACAGACCAGTTGAATTCTTCAGACAGTTATTGAAGAGGAAACTTCAGAGCTCTCAAACACAGGAACTGTGTAAGCCTGTAACAGCTGAGGAAGTCAGAAGTGTTATTTTTGGTTTTAAAGGAGAGAAAAGCCCTGGACCTGATGGTTTCTCAGCCTGCTTTTTCCAAGTGGTGTGGCACATTGTAGGTGAGGAGGTAGTGAAGGCAATTCAATACTGCCTAGCTCATTCTTCTATCCCAAATGAGGTAAACTCTACTATATTAGCTCTCATTCCTAAGATCAAGAACCCTGAGGAGATGAAGCACTTTAGGCCAATCTCTTGCTGCAACATTCTATATAAATGCATTGCAAAAATAATTGCAAATAGACTTAGTGAGTGCCTGCCCCATGTGATTAGTAATAACCAGACTGCTTTTGTTAAGGGTAGAGTCATTGGTGAAAACATTATGTTAGCTCATGAGCTGGTACAGAAATATAATTGGAAGAATATATCCCCTCGTTGCATTGTTAAAGTTGACTTGATGAAGGCCTTCGATTCAGTTGACTGGCAATTCGTTTTGACTGTGTTAGAAGCTATGAGATTCCTAGTTTGTTCTTAAAATGGATCTCTATGTGTATTACTACCCCTAGGCTAAGTGTTGGGTTTAATGGTGGGATGGTAGGGTATTTTGCTGCTAAAAAAGGTTTGCGCCAAGGGGATCCACTTTCCCCTTGTTTGCAATGGCAATGGAAGTTTTTACTTGCTTAATGGAAGAGGCTGTTTCAGAAAACAGGCTCCCCTTTCACCCAATGTGTAAAAGGGTTGGACTTACTCACTTAATGTTTGCTGATGATCTTTTATTGTTCTCTGATGGGTCAAAATTTGGTCTTCAGTGCATACAGAGAGTCTTATCTGACTTTAGATTACTGTCAGGGCTTAAGTCCAATCCCTCTAAATGTGAGTTGTATTGTGGGGGGTTACCCCAGGAATGGAAGGAAAGTATGGCTGCTTTTGCTGGGTATAAACTAGGTTACCTCCCAGTCAGGTATTTGGGAGTTCCTTTGATTTCAAATAACTCACTGTCAAAGCTTGTAAACCTTTGATTGATAAGTTACTAAGTAGAATCAAAAATTGGGGGGCTAAGCTTCTGAGCTATGCTAGGAAACTTCAGCTGGTACTGTCTGTCCTTTACAGTTTAGTCCAATTCTGGATGGTTATCTTTGTTCTTCCTAAAAGAGTGATTAGAGAAATTGAACAACTCTGCAGTAACTTTCTGTGGGGTGTGGGCTCTAAAGGGAAGATTAGAGCTAATATGGAATTGGGTAAAATCTGTTTCCCCAGGAAGGAGGGTGGCCTGGGAATAAAGAATCTTGTAAGTTGGAATCATGCTTTTGTGGTCAGACACATCTGGGATTTACTAATGCAGGGCGGGTCTCTTTGGGTTGCATGGGTGACAGAGTATAGATTGCATAACATTGATTTTTGGTCTGCTACTGGTAAATCTGGTTCCTGGATATGGTTGAAAATGCTGAAGTGCAGAGAGCAGGTTCAGGGTCATCTATCTGTTATCGATGTAGTTGAGTCTTGGGATGGGAAGGTGCAGAAGAAGTTCCCTTTAAAGCAAGTTTGGGATTTCTTTCGACCAAAGCTTCCTGTTGTGAACTGGTACAAGCTTGTTTGGATTCAGCCTGCAATGCCAAGAGACCAATTCCTCTGCTGGTTAATCATCAGAGGGTATCTTACTACAGGAGATAAGCTTTTGAGTTGGGGTTATCAGGGGAGCTTCAATTGTGTATTTTGTGATGTTGCTGTTGAGTCCCTTAACCAATTATTTGCTGAATGTAGCAGGTACAAAAGCCTTTACTCCTGCTTGTTCTCCAAATTCACCAGAAGGGTCCCTTCAAACAGTTGGGAAGTTGAGTTAAATTGGGCTGTGACTGCTTTTACTGGTCCTAGTGCAACTTGCAGAGTTGGGAGAGTTCTTTGGAAATCATTACTTAGCAGTATTTGGCGTGACAGGTGTAAAGCTAAGCATGGGAAACACATTTTGAGCTTGGATAAGGTGAGGGAAAGAGCGAAATCAGATCTGGAAGTGTTGTGTGATGCAGAGGAGGTGGGGAAGTTCTTGTGATTGAGTTCTTGTTACTCTGCTAAATTCTCTTGGCTCTAGAAGTAGCAAAACAGTATTGATTGTATTAAAGTCCTGGTGGCAAGGGTTGTTTGCCATAGCAGTACTGGTTTTTTGATGAAACACAACTTACTATTCATAAAAAAAAAGTTTGGGTTGGATGGAAAAGTAGATGGATGCACATTTTGGCAACTTTAATCGTACCTGACGCCCTATTCAAACCTAAGTGGTATGTCTACTTCAATTCTTAAACTTAAGTGGCACCCGAGGTATTTTACCCGTAGGGAGGATGTACCTCTACTTCAGACGATCTTCTTCTCCGACGCAAGCTGCTAATTTCCGGCGCCTGAAAGACCACACACAAAGGAAAAATAAAGAAAGATCCATGAGACTACACTCTCCGTCGGAGTCTCTCTCTCTCTCTCTCTCACTCCCCTTACCTCCCACGTTTCTTCCTCCCCTTAATTTTTCAAATCGACGCGAAGCCATAGCTATTGGGAATCACCAGCAAGTAGCAACACTTCCATCCCATTAGAACTCTGGATCTAACAAAAGACAATGACTTTTCCCTCCATTCATCTCTTGTGGCAAGACGGGCTATTGGGCTAATGAAGAGGCAGTGAGAATCAGGGGTGGTTGCGGAGCGGCAATCAGGGAGGAACCAAATCGATAATGGGACAAGATGGCCGGAGGCGGTTGGGATTGACTGAGAGTTGCAGAGGGCTGACGCACCGGTGTTTGCAGAGCGGCGGTCAGGCAGGAACCGGATTGATGGTGGGACGAGATGGCCAGCCGCGGCTGGGATTGACATCGATGAAAGTTGTGGAGCTTCGGGGAGATTCAGGAAAGGCCCGAATCGATGGTGGAACAAGATGGTCGGCGGCGGCTGAGATAAACAGAGGAGTTCCAGAGGGTTGGGTGGGACTTGGGAGAGAGAACGTGCGGGTTTGAGGGAGGAGAGAGGACCATTAATGTGTTGTTTGTTACGGATGATAGAGAAGGGGTTTGTTTGTTTAAACTTTAATTTGAAACTTGAAATTGGACTAAGTGGTAAATTACATATTAAAATTAGGACGCCAAATTGTAAATTTCGGACGACATTTAGCATTTAAGATATAAAAAGCTTCTACACCACAACATATTTAATTTTAAATTTTCAACTTTGTGAGTGATTTTAGAAGGAATAGTTTTATATTTTTAATTATAAAGCCCCTGACATTTGAACCAAACTAGGGTTAATAGTATAAATTGCCCCTTTATTATTGTATTTTCTCAAACTTGCCCCTCTACTATTTTCACATCATTCTTGCCCTTTTATAATAATTAAGTTCCCAAACATGCCTTCTATTTGATGTTTCGTCTAATTTTCGTTTATAATGGTCAGACCATGGATCAACTTAGGGGTGAAAGTTGGGGTGGGTGTGGTTACCCACCTCACATTTTGCGAGTAACCACATCCACAAATTTACAATTATTCTACCAACAACCCGTAATGGTTAGTGGGTAAACACAACCCACTGCGGGTTGGGTGTGGTTACCCGCAAAAATCCATATTTGCAAGCATGGAGTTGAGGCCGCTAGTGTATTTGTTGTTCGTAGATATACTATAGTGATATACAATTGTGTTGTTTGTGCAGATACAATTTTGTATATCGATCTTACTCAATATGGAGATTTTTTCTTTTCGATTTTGGTATTCGATTTTTGTGTCAGGGAGCTGTGATTTCATATTTCACCGACTAGGGGTGGAATATAACTAGAGGTGTCAATCGGGCGGGTTTGGATTGGGTTCATTCGGGTTCCGGGTTGCGGGTTCATCGGGTTGCGGGTTACTCGGGTTACAGGTCACTCGGGTTGCGGGTCAATCAGGTTACAGGTCAATTGGGTTGCGGGCCAATCGGGTTACGGGTCAATCGGGTTGCGGGTCGGGAGGTTCGGGTTGCGGATTTTACGGACCAAAACATCGCGTTACTTTTTAGTGATTACTAGTAAGTCGTAAATTGTAACTATATGAAGCTAGCACAATACTTGTTGTAGACACTACTTTTTGTCCAGGGTTAAAACATCTTCACTTAAATAAAATTAGTTTTATTGAAGGTTTGCTATAGTGAATCTTAAATGATCTTCAAGGTAAAACTATTTATAATGATTCATATGGGTCATGTTTACCATAACTTAACAAGATTAAGCAATAACAAATCTTTATCAATGCAATTGATAGTGAAAGTTGAGATGTTTTGCTTCGATTTGATGAATTAAGCAATTTTACAGTTAGTGTGAAGTTGATCTTTGGATTGGGTTTTAAGACTTTGGTTCTAGTTAGAAAAGTAAAATTAAGAAAATAAATAAGCATCCTATTAAACTAAATTGGGAATAATACAAAATAAAAATTATAAATACAATTACTAAATAAATGTTAAATCACAACTAATTAAAATAGTTCATACAATCAACAATAAGCTAAAGAGCTCAAGTCCAAAACCTAAGTCAAAGTCCAAAGTCAACAAAAGTTAAAGTCAACTTGGTCAAACCAGTCAATAGTTGTTAATCTGGTCAGGTCTGACCAAACCCAGATCGGTCCAACCCAAAACTGGTATTGTAGCATACTTGGGTACCAAGCTGCCTTTTCCTTATAAAAAGAACCCTTTGCAAGACAAAAAAGGGGGTCGGCTCACTCTTCTTTCATATACACAGACAACCAAAACTCTAAAAATAAAAGAGAACCAATAAAACAACACACTTCCTTTCTTCTTCTTTCTCACACAAGACTTTCTTCTTCCCCCACGTTTCCTTCCTTCTTCTCTGAACAAACAGACCAGCTCTAAAGCTTCATCTTCCTCTTCAGCCACAAGGTGTATGGGATTCCACTAAGGTGTTCTGCCAAGATTTCCTCGCACAATAGTTGATGGAAGATCTCTTTAGGTTGAGCACGGTAATGCGGGGATAGATGTTGCTCCAAGAAATTTAGATCCGCTCTTGATGGTGGCGCTGGTCGTTGCTCATGAGGTTCAGGGGCGACTTGCCTCTCGACATAGGTCTGTTGTGTTGCCGCGGTGGCTTCTTTGTTCATCATAAGTGCGATGACCTGGTTCATCTTGTTTTACCTGTCCGCGATTACTTCATTTTGCTTGGCCATTTGCTGGCTTACTTCCTTGGAGGTTAGTTGCGACTCCTCTTCCTGTATTCATACCGCGTTCAAATTGCTGATTTTCGCGAAGAGTCTCGGATTTGTCATCTCTCTGAGTGGCGTTGCCTCATCCGGTTTGATTGAAGCTTGTCCACGATGGGCGCCAATTGTTTATGTCTAACTGTGTGTAGGAGCTACTGAGACACGGGGTTTGTATGGATGCGAATGGAAAGAGAGAATGAGCCGCCTTTATACTTTGTTGATTCAGAGGATTTAAAGGAGCTGAGAGGGAGAGAAAGAGATTCTAGAGATGTTTTCAAGTTTTTAGAGAGAGAGACTAGAAATCGATCCTCTTACCCACTGGAGTAAATAGTCTATTTGTAGGCAACATTCCGGTGGGTGGGTTTTAAATGTGACACGACGCTTGGAAAAGATGGAAAACTAGGATATGACGAGGTCTATGAATGAGACGTGACTGCTTGTCACTAAAACGACGTCTTCTTGAGCTTCTTATTCCGCGAGTACCTGTTTTTGCGCGGTCCTCACCTTGCCTTAGGTGTGACGTGGCTGCTCGCGAGACTCTACTTGCGTGTGGTGTTCCGCGATTACCCGTTTTTGGGCACGCCTTGCTTTAGTATTTCTTGTTTTCCTCAGGATGATGACTGCAAGAGCGGACCCAGGGTCCTTTGGGGGTGTCCCAAGACACCCCTAAATTTTGGAAATGTGTTTATCCAACCCCCGATGGTAATTTACATATGAACAAAAATTATAATGAATAGTCCGGGACACACTGAAATTTGAAAAAACAATCATCCTACTCTCGTGTTTGCGTATGGAAATATAAGTCGTAGTTTGGGTAATTCAAACCCGTGACACTACTATTAATAATAATATAATATACATTAGGCTACAACTTTTTGTTGTTCTATTCCAAACCATGTGTAATAGCAAACCCCAATTCTCTATATTTAATTATTTTCAAAACGTAACTATTAGTTTACAAGCTATCCTTAATTTGTATTGATTTCATGGTGGTACGATAAGAATGATTGTCGAATATGCGTCAGTTCATGAATGATTGTCTAGTAGGATATACCGAAACAAATTTTTCGAGTAATGTAGACACCAAATGTATTTTTCAATTTTTTCAAAATATTAAAATACATCATGGAATTTATTTAACTTGTACAAGTTGGATATTTTCTTATTTAAGATTCATTTAATTGTTATTAATTATTATTTTTATTTTATTTTATTTTTTGAAAGAGAACACCCTATGTAAAATTTCCGGGTCCGCCACTAATGATGAGTGTATTTTGAACCGCTTTTGAGGTCATGTGTTCCTATAAGTTTCAACGCTTTAAGTGAGTTGCAACTCGATCTTGTCGCTTTACTAAAAAACTAGGTAGATTTTGTGCCGCACTTCGTTGCGGCTTCTCATAGGATTAGATGTATTGTTTACAAACCCATATTTGATTTATGATTGTGTTTAGCAGCGGAATCTAAATCAGTAGGTGATTTTAGCTATAAAATATTTAATCGCGTTTAACTATGATTTTAGCTTAAAATCCCTAATGCGAACTTTTACGACATGACCTTCGGTATGGTTTTACAATTATATTTTTTTTTTGAAGATAAGGCTCGGGTTGAAGGAACGTATCAAGACTGATTTAACCATGATTGAACTACAATTTTAGTATAAAATATCATAATGCTAACTTTACCGCTACGACATTCAATATGGTTTTATAATTCTTGAGTTTTTTCTGAAGATACATCGAGGCTCGGGTTGGAGCACCGTCAAGTCTGATTTTAACCACGGTTGAACTACGATTTTAGCACAAATACCCCTAATGCTAACTTTTACGGTATGATGTTACAATTATTTATTTATTTTTCTGAACATAAATCGAGACTCGGGTTGGAGTTATGTGTTTGGTTTTTCTGAACATAAATCGAGGCTCGGATTGAAACAACGTGTCAAGTCTGATTTAACCATGGTTGAACTACGATTTTAGTACAAAATACCCTAATGCTAACTTTTTCCTTCATGACTTTCGGTATGATTTTATAATTTTTTTATTTTTCTAAATATAAATTGATACTCTGGTTGGAGTAACATGTCAAGCCTAAACCAATTGCATTTTCTCACTTCCATTGTAACACTGAGTATTGAGCTGCGGGTGAGGGAAGAAAATGACAGAATGTCATTTAAGTAAAACTCTAATGCTACAGTACCATTGTTATAACTTTAATTATTAGGAAGGATTTTTCTAAATATAAATTAATACTCGGGTTGGAGTAACATGTCAAGCCTAAACCAATTGCATTTTCTCACTTCCATTGTAACATTGAGTATTGAGCTGCGGGTGAGGGAAGAAAATGACAGCATGTCATTTAAGTAAAACTCTAATGCTACAGTACCATTGTTATAACTTTAATTATTAGGAAGGATTTTTCTAAATATAAATTGATACTCGGGTTGGAGTAACATGTCAAGCCTAAACCAATTGCATTTTCTCACTTCCATTGTAACATTGAGTATTGAGCTGCGGGTGAGGGAAGAAAATGACAGCATGTCATTAAAGTAAAACTCTAATGCTACAGTACCATTGTTATAACTTTAATTATTAGGAAGGATGATTAGAAATTGTTGACACCTAAAATTAATTTGGCCCGAATTAAATGCCGTATTAATTAGTCTCGGCATTTAATTCGATACCGCGGGTAAAAAAACGGTGTCGTTTGGAGTCGAGCGGCACCGCGGAGAGTTAAAACGGTACCGCAAGGAGGCTCAGCGGTACCGCGATACTAGAAACGGCATCGTTTACCGGGAAACAAGA